GTCAGGGTGTCCCTGACCTCCTGCTGGTAGATTAATTGCATATTAAACACTGTGTTTTGAAAACGAAATGATAAATCTGGACATTTAAAGGAGGCACCAAAACATTTACAAAGGAGGTAAGTTAGGGAGGAAAACGAGACTGCAAAAGAAATATAGAAAGAAAAGAGAATGTACAAAATGCAATTGCGACAGAATTGCAAGAAAATATGGATAAAGGGCAGAGAGGGCTGAAAGGAGGGCAAGAGGAAAGGGAGGAGGGAGATTTGGGTTTCCAATCCCCTGGCCAGGCTGCTGGCGTCCGCACCCTGAATGCCCAGCCTTCCAAGTTGAGGCGAAAGCCACCTCCTCGGGCCTGCGTCGCATCTAACTTGCTGCAAGTTTTCTGGTGACTCCTCCAGAGCCCCTTTCCTTCCACCACCACCACCACCCACCCCCCTTTTGTGAGATTGACAGTCGCGTGGAGGAGGCTTTTCCAGGCACAGCCTTTCTCATGATAATCAGCCCCCTGCATCACCTCCCGGCCGCCGCTGCCTCCTCGCGGAGCGGGGCTCGCGGACCCGGGGGACCGGAAACAGGGCGGCGGGCGGGGAGCAGGCCGGCGAGCCAGGTCAGCTGACCGGGAGCGGGGCGGGGGTCGCGCGGTGCCAGGGCGGGGTCGGGTGTGTGCAGAGGAGGGCGGCGGGGCCTGCGAGCCCCCCACGTGCTCCCGGACTGACGGAGGGAGCGAAGTTCGCGGGCGGGGGTTGGGGGTTTGGGGGGGGGGGCGAACGCGCCGGGGATGGGTTACTGCGAGCAGACAGACCTGCTTTGCATCAATAAATTAAGATGCTCATTTGAGTCCTGAAGTTTGCTGGTTCCTGTCAGTAGAGACGTTGGCAAACACCCCGAAGCCGAGATGCAACCTTTACTTCAAATAAAATAGGAAAATAAAATCCTCAGCTGGCCGCCCCGCTGGGGCTAGGTGACGTGCGAGATTCCACAGCCTGCGGGCCTCGCAGCAGGGAGGTGAGGGACGGTCTCGGGCTCTTCGGTCTTGTTTTGGTTTTGTTTGAAAGGGCTTTTCTGAGACGCTCCGAATTTTTCTTTCTTTTTCTTTCTTTCTTTTCTTTTCTTTCTTTTTTTTTTTTTTTTTTTAATAGGCTTTCCCCTCCTATCCTAGGCTCAACTCCGAATGGATTGGATTGTGAGTTTGCACGTGAGAAAACCGTTTGGCTTTGCTCAGACCCCTCCGTCTCCCACACACACCTAATCCAGGAGTCTGGGGTATCAGCCTTTGCTCGCAACTCCAAAAGAAGTTACCCACTTCCTGTATAGCAATACAGGATTGAAATAATTCCTGTAGATGAAAGATCAATTCCATTTCTAAACCAGATTAGATTCCTTTTTTATTTTCCCCACATGGTGCAAAATAAACACAATTTGCCTTAAAAAAAAAAAATCATTAGCTGTGGCCAAATTCGAATTCTTTCTTCAGCCTGTGTGTTCAAGGACAGAAACGTACCTCCTAGGGCCTGTGGGCCAGCAAGAAGAGTGGGGGCGGGGGAGCGGCTGTGAAAGTTGAGGAAATTGACAGACTGAGAGGTGAATGGGGGGACAGGCTCTGGGTCCGCTGCCGGGAACTGGAAAAACAAAAGGGTGTCCTCCTCACCCAGCCTTGGGGGTGAGGGGGTCCTGAGGGGAGCAGTTGGTTTTCCCCGAGGAAACCCTCAAGAATTATTTTCCCCTTCAATGTCGATGACAATACTATTTCACATTTGCATGTATCTGTTGTTTTAATCCCCTTCGCCTGCGCTAATCTCGAGGTGGATTATTAACGGGGAAAACAGTCGGGAAAGGAGCCAGTCCTTCCTTACAGGACTTATTTTGCTGCGAGAGGAGCCTCTGAGAGGTCCCTGGTCCTTCTGGACTTTTCATCCTGCGCTCCTGTATTATGTGGGTCCCACGGTTCCCCATTGTCCCTGACCTGGCCCTGGGACCGAGGGAGTGTTCCGAACAAATTTATATTCCAGCTTCCTCTGGTCCTTCTGCCTCTGTGATGGTGGGAACACACTGGGTCAAAAGCTTGGGGAGGGGCGTGCCAAGCAAGGGCAGTGGGCAACCTAGCCCTGCCTGTGCTCAGCCCTCGCGATCTTTCCAGTGCCACCACCCAAACGTCCACCTTCATGATAACCTAGGAAATTGAAGTTGGTTTTGTTTTGTTTTGTTCTTTTTTTTATTTTTTCCCCATGCCAAATACATGGAAAGGCACGTCGAAACTCAGTGCAAACTATTGGGGGTCGCCTCCTGGCACTGGAACGATGATTGAGGCCAAGGTAATCAGATAATTGGGTGTTTTTAATAGAAATAGTCACCAGTCTATTTTGTCAGACCTGAAGAAGACATTTTATATCCATGATAAAGGCAGTGATTTGTTAGCTATTTGTTCGACTTGCCATATAGTTGCATTGTGCCTTTGCACCAGTGTGTGAGCTAAAAAACGTTCAGTGGCTAGCTACCTGGG